AGTAGGTTGGAGGCCATGGCTAGTAGGTTGGAGGCCATCGCTAGTAGGTTGGAGGCCGGTTGGAGGCCATCGCAATTAGGTCCAGGTGAGCTCTTCAATTTGTATCCACGTTCATGGTCCCCGTTTGCTCCAGGTGTATATATATTTATATATTTTGTCAATCTACGAAATTTGCTAGGGTATGATTCATTGTCCAACCAGTGCACCAGTAGCGAGATGGTACATTCACCGAACCGCTATGGTTCAAATCCAGGCCTTGAGCCTTTCGTCCGAGCGAGCTTGAAAAGCGACGCTCGACTTGGCTCTTTTGTTCTTGACACTGGTAGCGGAGCCAAAGTGCTCCAAGTAGGTGCGCCATAGCTTCGCTTTGACCCCTTTCTTGGAGCCGGTGTTGGACATTGTTTTTGCCGTATAGAGCTTGGACATTGTTCGGTTGAGGGCTGGCTGAGGTTTGTTGGGACACTGTCATACTGGAATTCACTTCACGAGTTTTGGTGTACTTGACACTTTAGCACGGTGCCATTGGAATTTCAGGTTGTGCAATTTTTGGCAGCTCGCAAGTTTCACATTACAAGGATTTCATTTTTGTTGACATTTTTGTTGACATGCAGCCACAGCAAAGCAGTTCATTGTACGTGGACCCGAAATCCAACGTGGTGCATTATGATGGGAATCCCAAGTTGGCAGAGGAGTACGAAGAACGTGTTTGGCTGGGTTTCCAGACAGTTCAAAAGGATGAAAAGACAAGTTACGCTGCCAAGTGGAAGAATGCTCTATGTGGCAGAGCTTGGACCCTTTGCCACAGGAAACCCGAGATCGCAGCCCAGAAGTTACTCCAGATCAGCGAAGCTGAACCATCAACCAATGCTGGACCGAAGGCCGCAGTTCATCTGGTGGTGAAGACAGTTCGCTCTGCTTGCGAAAAGGCGGCGCCCCTCCTGAAGACCCCGACATTTGAAGATACGGACCTTCAGGCTTCTTCCTGTTGCGAAATGCTGGAGTGAGTTCCTCTCAACATCGAGCCATCCTTGGGCAAGCTGGCAATGAGTATGATTGGGACAAGATTGTTGAGGCAATGCTCATCCAGCTGGATGGTTGTGAGGAGCCCCAAAGCAAAGGATGGAAGGGAAACTACAAACCCCGTCAGCTACAATCCTGGTGGCAAGCGTTCCTGGGCTTTCCCTATTGAGGAAGAGTGGTCAAGCTTTGATGGTGAGGTTGAAGAGATCTACACTGTCGATGACTGATATGAAGCGCAGGTGGAGGAAGACATCCCTGTTTTTGAGGTTGAGGAGGACATCCAGTGTGACATCGAAGAGATGGAGCGTGCAGTCGAGGTCATGACGGTGGAGGACCTTTCGATGGAAGAGCTGGACATTTTCGCCTACTCCAGAAGATGGGCAAAGGAGCAGCAGAATATGCTCGGAAGCGGCAGGTCGACCGAGGGTTTCAACCAACTGCCATTGGACACAACCGTACCGCCATTGCCCTAGATGGTAAGCTCACCCTCAATGCCTGTCAGCTACAAGACAAACTGCAACAGATCAAAGCAAGAACACAATGCTATGATTGTGGACAAAAGGGACATTGGCGTGGTGTCAAGTCTTGCTCCAATAACTCAGGATCGACGCCATCGAGTTCAAAAGGTGGCAAGAAAGGCTATGGAAAGAAAGGTGGCCGTAAAGGTGGATTCCTTCGGTGAGCTGGCATGGCAGCGGTTATGTTGGCTTCAGCGTCAGGGCCATTGTTGACATCGTGTCACGAGGCCTTGACGTGTTTGGGGTTGCGTGGATTGGAAGAGTTCCCTTGCCAACCTGCATACGATGAGGCCCCTTGCATGTTGGACTATGTGGTTGAGGACATTGAGAAGCCCTTGGTGAGTGTTGACGCCCTCATGACCACCGATACGGAGGTGACACCGATCCCGCGAGCCTGAACTTCATGGCCAACGCAAGTCGTGAGACTGTCCCTGCAGGGATGTGTGTGGCTGACACCGCAGCACTGATTGGTTGTGGAGGAGACCGGACATGAGACAGGTTCATCGGGAAGTTTGGAAGCGATACAGTTCTGCAGCAACCCAACAAAAGTGCTGAAGGGTGTCAACGCAGATGCTCCTGTTTTGGTACAACATCAGCAGTGGATTGACATCAACATTGCTGGACAGAAAGGCAGAGTAGCCTTACATCGCCTTCCCAACTCCGATGTTCCCCTTCTTCTTGGCCTACCACAACTTTGAGAGCTTGGTGCAGTGATCGACCTCACAGCAATGCCAAAGCCCACAATCCAGTTTTCTGCGTTTGGTTCAGAGAAGGTCGCCATGGAATATGGTGCAGGTGGACCTCAGGTGGACACCTACTTCTGGACACTTGGCAAACCTCGAGATTTGCTGGGAGACAGTTTCTTGAAGAAAGAAGACCGCCAGGCAGTGTTGGAGGAGATTTGGATTGAAAAACCAAGCCTGGTCACCATGGGATTCAATTGTGACCCGTGTGCACCATTGAGCAATTTTCTCGGTACGCTCGATGCAGCAGGAGGTAGCTCTGGCCCATCTGGACTTCGTGAAGGAAGTGTGCGAACTTCAGATTTCAGGTGGAAGACACTACTTGTTGGAAAACCCGTGTCAAGCTAAGCCTGGAAGCACGTGTTGGAGAAGCTTGAACATGTTCCCCATTACACAGCCCGCATGGATCAATGCATCATCCCCAGTGTTGGCATCCGTATTGAGTCTTCGGTGCAGTGGCGATCATGAACATGTTCAAGTACAAGGTCGTGGACAGAAGGATGGACGACACCGCAGCTCGGAGTCATGATCCTTGAGGGAATCCAGAGACAGGTGGAGCAGTGCGGGGAAGTGAAGTACTATTTGGATGAGGCTGAACGAAGCTCAGATGTGGTCTTCCGACAGAGAAGAAGAACTCCAGACATGGGAGGAGGTTCCCACATTGCTTCAAAGCGCAATTGCCAAGGTGCATCGACAATACTGAAGTTCAGCCGTCATCTCCGATTGGCAGGTGCTTCAGACCGGGCAATCAAGGCAGCCTCATTGTTTTCATGCCCTACATGCGAGAAAGAAGGAGTCCTGCAAGGCCTATAGCAGCGGTTCCCAAATACAATCATTTCAATCAATGTGTGGCCATGGACATCGTACACATACCAGATCAAGATGATGTGATGCACTCCTTCCTGCTGATGGTTGATGTGGCTACATCGTACACCGTGGCATCTTAATTATGTTCAGGTGTTGCGCCAGGACGATCCAAGAAGCCTCACTCTACTCAATGCCGCAAGTCCTTGGTGGATTGGATGGAGGTGTTTGGCAGCCCGGACAGAGTTCAGGTTGATCGCGAGATCCTGGATAGATTTGGCATTGATGCACGTTGGAGCCATGGTGTGGTGGAAAGAAAGAGCCTCACAGTGAAGGAAATGATGATGAAAGTTGCACATGAGTGAGATCAAAGGACCCATCCTCACGAGGGTCGCTGTGGTGAACTGTGTGCAAGCCATCAATCGCCTGTCAAATCATCGAGGCTCTCTTCTCCCAGGCAGTGTGTTCTTGGATTCCAGCCCAA